AGCCCCAGAGAGGGGGCAGTATTACTAGGGAGCCCAGCGTGGGCACAGCGAGCCCCAGAGAGGGGGCAGTATTATTAGGAAGCCCCAGGGCGGGCGCGGCGAGCCCTGAGTAAGGCCTAGTGCTGCAGTAAACCACGGAGAAGGGCGGTGTACTGCGGTGAACCCTGAGAGAGAGGGGGTAGTGGTGCGGTGAGCCCTGGAGAGCAGGGGTAGCAGTGCGGTTGGGCCTGAGAGACTGGTGGCTCGTCGAGAAGTCCCAGAGGGGGGTGCAGAAGTCCCCAGGAAAGGGGGCGACATTGCAGGGAAGGCCCCAGAGAGGGCTTGGAGAGCCCAGGAGAGGTCAGCACAACAGAGGAGGCCCGAGAGATGGGCAGGAATATAGACAGAGAGACACACCAACGTCTATCCCATCTGCGAGGCTTGGGGCGTGGTATGAGGGGAGCTGGGAGCCACGCGTAGCCCATAAGGCTAGGGTGCCTGGGAAGCACCCATCATACAGGGAGACCCCCGGTGGGTCCGGGAAAACACGGGGACAGAGGTCCCAGCTAACCGTGCCCAAGGAGACGTGAGGCAGCCTCCCAACTTAACCTAACATCAAAGACGTGGCAGGCGATAATAGAGGGTGCCCTTGGGCCGACTTGGCACAGAGGAAGGGGCCTCAAGGAGTTCACGGCCCTCCTGCAGGACCCCGCCGTGACACACTAAAATACAGGACCAAATCTTCCACCCGCTGGCATAAAGATTAAAACGTTGTAAGGTAAAGAAGAAGAATCTTTATAGCAGATGTTTTTACGGCAGGGTGCACTCAGGTGCAAGATTAGAGGACTAGCTTCACCAGCCCTCCGATTGGTTGCTCATCTGTAAAATAGAATCTTCCATTTTGTAGATTTTCTTTTTTCATTTTTGTATTTTTTTTTATTGAGTTCTTCTCCCCCCCCCCCCCCATTTTTTTTTTTTTTTTTTTTTTTGGGTTTTCCCCCCCCCCCCTCCAATTTTACTTTCTTACTGCAGGTGGAGTTTGGGGACATGCTTTTTTGGAGACTCTTTTTCCATGTGCATTGGTAAATAAGGAGCTCTGAATTGACTTGAACAGATTTTGGCCCTTGCAGTACTATTTTTGGCTGATATTGCATATTACACTCTCAACTCCTTTCATACACTGAAGGAGATCTAGATGGTACTTCAGCCACTGCATTAATAACATTCCTCTCTTGGTTCATGCATATATACCGTGGAGGAATCTATTTATTGCTGCTTGCATTGAGGGGCTTGGTGGAGAGTAGTTTCCTAATCCTGTTTTCATCTACTCTGCAGGACTGAGGCTTTAAGATAGTACCCTTGTTCCATGTGCTGTTTTCCTTACCAATCTTGAAGCGAGAGGTCTGTAGTGGAAATGCTGTAGCTCTGTGTCTTAGTGTCACCTCTCTCTCTCTCTCTCTCTCTCTCTCTCTCTCTCTCTCTCTCTCTCTCTCTATATAT